TTTACACGGTTATTCGGCTTTGGTTTTTTGTTTTAGTGTAGCTTTGTTCAAATATTTGCCAATAAGACTATTGAGTTACTACACCCTCTCCCCGAATTTTCTTTCCTCTTTTGTAAAGGATTTTCCCTGATTTTTTATTTACTTTACCACAGTGTGGTATATTTGGTTGCTGTTGGTTGCTCTGTGTGTGTGTGTGTGAATGTATATCGGCCTATATGTGTTGTATGTCTGTATGTGCATTCCTTTAGTGTGGTCTGGTTTTTAGATTTAATGGAGATAAATTTAATTTATGATTTGATATTCGAGATAATCGTTTTAATTTAGCACTTTAATGTTTATAATAAATGCATGCAAAAATAAACATGGATATAAACATAAATATATAGTTTAATGCGAGCAAATGTGTGTGTGAGAGCGAGCGTGTGTGTGTGTGTGTGAATTTCGAATTCATGTTGAAATATAATTCACAAAAGCCCATGTAAATATTAGCCTATAGAGTATTTAATTATTTTTAATATTTTAAAAGATTACGCCCCAAGAAAAATTTCAAGCTGTTTTTATAATTTATTGGAGTTTTTTAATTTTTTTGGAATATTTTTTTCGAGGGCCAACAAACGTAGACTTCAAAGACCTCTGACGTGGAATTAAAAAAAAAATTCAAAGACAATAAACGCTTGTTTTAGACCACAGAAAAGGGATTTTAGGGACCAGGCAATGCGGATTTTTTTAAAAATGTTTTTTCAAGAACTATCTGTCGTGAATTTTTTAAAAAATATTTTTTTTTTCAAAGAGCAAAGAGGCTTGGTTTTAAAGAATATTTTTTTCAAGGACCAAAGAAACGTGGATATTTTAAAGAAAAAAATTGTAAGGACCAAAAAAACGTGGATTTTTTAAAGAAAAAAAAAAAGGACCAAAAAAACGTGGATTTTTTAAAGAAAAAAAATAAGGAGCCTAGAAACGTGAATTTTCTAGAGAAAAAAATTTAAGGAGCATAGAAACGTGAATTTTTTAGAGAAAAAAAACTTTAAAGAGCCTAGAAAAGTGGATTTTTTAAAGAAAAAAGTTTAAGTAGCCTGGAAACGTGGATTTTTTTTTAAAGAAAATCGCTGATTTTTTAAATAATAATTTTTAAGGACCACCAAAATGCGGATTTTTTAAATATTCATTTTTTAAGGACCACCAAAACGCAGATTTTTTAAATAATATTTTTTTAAGGACTTCCAAAACGGAGATTTTTTAAATAATAATTTTTTAAAGACCATAGAAGCTTAGATTTTTAAGGAAAATTTTTATTCAATGACCACCAAAACGCGGATTTTTTTAAAGAATACTTTTTCAAGGACAAATAGGCTACAAGTGTGGATTTTTAAGATTATTTTACCAAGGACCACAAAGACTATCTGAGGGTGGATTTTTTAAAAAATATTTTTTCAAATACTATCTGGTGGTAGGTTTTTTAAAAAATATTTTATGAATGATCAACAGAACATGAATTATTTACAGAATATTTTTTTCAAGGTATTTTTTGTATTTTTTAAGAATTTTTTTCTGCAACGACTTCCTTGATTTTTTAAGAAAATTTCCTTTTCCAATAAGTTCTAATTACTTGGGGACCATTAGAAGCAAAAATCGCCGAGTCTTTAACAAAAACATTGCTAAGGACATTATTAAAAATCGTCGAGTTTATTACTCAGATGTTAAAATCGAGTATTAGGGACCTCCTGATCAAAAATCAAGGATTCACAAAAGAAATGTTAGAGACCTCTTGACCAAAAATTATGGATTTTTAGGGACCTGACACATAATTACGGAGTTTTGAGAACCTCTTCTCTAGAATTCTCATCTCTTAAGAATATTTTTTAAAAATGATTTTATGGGCCGCCTGACACCGTGATCGGGGAGTTTTAAGAGAAATGTTTGGAAACACCCTGACCTGAATATTTTCCTAAAAGAATTAAAGCTCCCTGAGAGAAACACATGCAATTTTCTGTTTTCATGGAACTCTCTATCCAAAATTGTGTTTTTAAGATAAAATATTATTAAGTGCCTCCTGACTTTTTCATGGATCTTGAGATAAAAAATCATGTTTTTGTAAAGAAACCTATTTTAAGAACATCCTTGCAAAAGGCCTGGATTTTTGAGACATTGTTTAATTTACCTCCGACCATAAAATCGTGGATTGTTTAGAAAAAATGTTAAAGGACCCCTTAACCAAATATCATAGATTTTAAACAAAGTACGTACCACGATTTTGCTCAAATCGTAGATTTTATCGGAAATTCGGTCCATGATCTTCTAGATCAAAAACCTTAGTTGTCCTTATGGTGGTGGTTGTATAGAGATGATTCTGTGGAACTTCTGAACACTTTTCGTACAATTATAATACGCATTTCCAAAACCTAAACCACCTCCATATGTCCATTCTATACACGAACAGCCACTCAAATACCAAAATTTCACATTTCAAGCACTATTGAATGGAAACCCACAAGTGGCTATAGTTAGAGCACTCCAGCATTTAAATCTTTTGTGTCTCGTACCATCGGTCGTTAACGTGATACTCGTAGCGTAGCCCGACATCAAGGAAGTGGACAAAAGAAAACAGCAACATCAGCAGAAATGCTTCGAAAAGGAAAGAAAGCGACTTGATCGAAACCAGCGTACCTCAGTGGCCAAAAAATTGCTCGTGAGCTGAACAATATTCCATTCGGCAAATATTGAAAAATGAGCTCGGGGTAAAGCCATTGCAATTCCACCCCAACAGAAAGAAGATAGACTCAAAAGAGCTAAAGAGATGCTTCGCTTGACCGAAAGTGGAGAACTGCCGAATTTGGTTTTAATTTTCTCCGATGAGAACACATCCGTTGTCCAGCAGTTTGTAAACAAACAAAATGATCGTGTTTACATGCCAAAGAGGTCAGCTGAAAATGTGCATCTTCGGTTGGCCACCAGAACTCAAGCGCCGGCCATGGTGATGGTGTGGGCCGCCTTAACAGCCGATGGTCGCTCTTAGCTCGTATTTATCGACCGTGATATCAGAATAAATGACGAATATTATAGCGAAAATATTCTGGTGTGTATTAAAGCCTTGGGCACGCAAACATTTTGGCCGCAGACCTTGGACATTCCAACAGGACTCAGCACGCGCCACCCATGAATGGTTACAAAATGGGGTTCTCGCTTTATTTCCAGCTCACCACCAGAATCTCCGGATACCAATCCGTTGGATTATTGTGTCTGGAGTATTTTGGAAGGCAAGGTTGACACTAAAAAAGCGCAAGCGCTTCGCCGGGAATGGGCCAAAATACCGCAGAGCAATTCGGGCAGCGTGTACGGGTTTCATTGGCCGTTTGAAGGCCATAATTCGTGACAAAGGTAACCAATTCGAACAAATCTAAACTTAGTCTAAAATTTGATGCTATTAAAAAGAATGCAAAAATATATATCGAATTCTGTTCATCGACTTCAAATGTCCTGAAACGGATTTGGTCCAAAGAGATCTATCATCTTACACCGTTATTTCGATGAGCCACTTTTGGCCTTACCAAGTGATAAATACCCTTTGAATGCCATATGGCTGTGGGTATAAAAATCGACCACTATTTGGTAAAAAAAGGTGAAAGAATATTAAAAAATATAATAATTTGGGCAAGGGTCCTGGAAAAAAATCCTTATAAATTCGCGATTTTTAGCCAGGGTGTCATTTATAAATTTACTTTTAAAAATCGGCAGATGGTTAAAAAAATCTTAAAAATCCACAATTTTTTGTAGGTATTTTATTTTTAAAAATTAAATTAAATTTTTTTCAAATTGAAATATCCCTGTTTTTTCAATCCATGATTTTCGGTTAATGTGTCTCTCTGTTGAAATTTTCTTAAAAAATAAAGATTTTGGATCAGGATGATACAATAAAAAATTTTTGAAAACAGATAATTTTTGGTAAAGTTTGGTAAAGTTTTTTTTAACAAATCTACGATTCTTTGATCAGACTCTCCTGATCAAAAATCTTGATTTTAAAGACATTGTTTTAAGGATCCCCCCACCAATGATTTTTTTCCAAATAAAAATTTTGCCATAAAATTATCCTAATTTTTTTAATCCATGATTCCTGGTTAGTGATCCCCACTATTGAATATTTCCTTTAAAAAAAAGATTTTCGAATAGGATGGTACAATAAAACATTATCTTAAAAACAGCTTCTTTTTTGCCATGAAGACCATGAACTAAGTTTCTTAACAAATCTACATACGTTTCTTTGATCAAAAGATCTAAACAATGTCAGAATAATTCACAAATTTTCCTTGGAAATCCAAAAAAGACAAAATCCTTGTTTTTCTCTTTCTCCTAATCAAAAATCGTGATATTTCTGGGACATTGTTTTAGGGACCTCCCCACTAAAAATCAGTTTTTTGTTGACTTCCTAGAAATTCTTAAAATTCGGATTTTAGAAATGTTACTACAAAATTATATACCTCGACTTTGCACTGCAGTTTTTCCTCGAGTGTTCCCTAAGCTGCAAAAAAACAACTGGCCCGCATAAGTAAAATCAACAAACCAATACTTGAAAAAAACTCCCACCTCTTTTATTTGTTTTAATTTCCACTATACTACATTACTCGGAGTTTATATCAATAGTCATGCAGCTCACCAACACATACAAACACCCCCACACACGATGATTCTGGGCAGCATTTTGAATAGCATAAATAGGCACATTTGTTGATTAATTTCATAAAATTTTAAATGCCAGCCACAAAAGACCAAAGGAGCGATGTTGTTGAAATAGTCGATAAAAAGTAGAATATTTAAAATTATTTATTTCTATTTAAATATTTATGCAGATTTGACTAAACTATAATGCCCTGCTTAGTTTTCTAACTCTGAAAATATTAGATTTTAAATAATTTATTTGAATTGAAATGTTTTTACCAACGATTTCCATACACTATTTGCTTTAATTTGTAATTTGTTTGGTTTTTTGTTCTCTTGTTTCATTGCAGACTGCTTCTTTGGAATTTTGATGCCCTCAGGTATGTTTATTTTGCACTATGTTTCCTCTCTCTCTCTCTCCCCAACTTCCCTTTCCCCTACTCTCATCCCATTCGTTTGGTAACTGTGCTAACCAACCACAATTTACCGCCAATGATAGCTAGCATTTCCGTTCCCAATTCACTTTGGAATTGTTCTTTTTTTTGCAAAAATGTTTTGTTGTTGTTGCTGTTGTTGTTTTTTTATTTCCTCATTTCCTATTTCTTTTGTTTCTTGTATTGTTTGCAAGTTTCGTTGTTTTGTTTCGTTTGGGTTTTTTGTCTTGCGGTATTGAATTTTCATTTCCTATTTCCTCCGCTCCCCTCACCCCCACCAAAACTTTATTCTCTGTTTCCTTTTCCAATAACCATTTAGTCTGTTTTAACCAATGACAATGCCAATGAAAGAAACAAGGGACACAATCAAATGAAATTGATGGAATAACATAAACAAGTTAAGAAATGGAAAGAGGAGTTGCTGGGTGAAGGAGAATGCGACAATATAGGAGCTCTGCATGGAAGTCGGTTTGAAGGTCTTTTATATAAAAATATTTTCGGGGACTAAGATGTATAAAAATACCTCTACAGGTCCTTTTTAGGCAGAAGACCATCAAATGGAGTTCTGAAGATAAACTATATTTTTCAGGACTACTAGAGCTTGGACGCTTTCCTCAGATCTGCTAGGGCCAAAAGGTCTTCCACATGTCCTTTTTAGGTGGAAGACTATCAACCGGTGCTTGAAAGATATAGGATGTTCCTCCAGACTTCTAGAGCTGGAAGATCTTCCTTAGATCTTCTGAGGTCAAGATTTCTGGCAGGAAATCGCTGTGAAGGTCCTTTATATAAAAGTAATATTTTAGGAAGCAAAAAATGTATAAAAGTACCTCTACAGTTTCTTTGAAGGTAGAGGATCATCAACCGAACTTTTAGAGATAAAGTATATTTTTTTAGGACTTCTAGAGCTTGAATGCTTTCCTCAGATCTGCTGAGGTTAAATGGTCTTCCACCGGTATTTTAAAGGTTTTGGTATTCTACATTCAAAATACCTGTGGAAGATCTTTTAGTCTTAGAAGATCTGAAGATAAAGGATCTTTTTTAGGACTTCTAGAGCCTAAAGATATTCCTTGGATGTTTTAAGTTTAGACGGGGATTTTCGGGATTTGCAAGGGTGTTCAATGTTTAAAAGAACCTACTGAGATATGTTGCGGTTAGAAGATACCTTCAAAGACCTTCTTTAGTTTTTCAATGCTTAAATACTTTCTCCACGCGTTCTGTAAAAAAATACCTTCAAAATACCTTTTATGGTCCTATATGTCCTTAATAGTCCAACTTTTTCGAGTTTTTTATGAGAAGAAAATCTTCTTTGGGTCATTTTTGGACAGTAGTCTTACTTATCGACTTCTATGGATAAGTGCCTCATTTTAGGGGTTTTATGGATGGAAGAGGGTCTTCAAATTTTCTATGGATAGAAAAACATCTTCAAGTCTTCTATGGCAAGAATCTTTCCTCAGGTCTTCTGCGTATGTAAATGGCCTCCTATGAGCCCTCTATGGAAGAGGGCTGACCAAAAATTGGAATTTCTAAGGAGCTCCTGACCAAAAATCGTTCATATTGCAAGCCAAAAAATTTATGAACCTTACTTTTAATAATCGATGAAATATATTCCTAATGTCTATAAAATATTCTTAAATGATCCTCCTGTTTCACAAGACTGCTGACCAAACATCCTTTTCTAGAAAATATTTTTTGGCGATTTCCTGACAAAAATCAGTGAATTTTTAAAAAACTTCGTCCTGACCAACATCTACTCAAAATTTTCTATGACAAAAGAGTCTTATTTCTATATAGGGTGAGATAAAAAAACTGCAACAAAATCAAACGCCATAATTTTTACGTTTTTTTTTTTTTTAATTTTATTGAATGAATGCAAAACATTTCGGAAATAGCATCAAATTTCAGAATGAATTTAGATTTGTTCGAATTGGTCACCTTTGGCACGAATTATGGTCTTCAAACGGCCAATGAAACCGTCACACGCTGCCCGAATGTTGCTCTGCGGTATTTTGGCCCATTCCCGGAGAAGCGCTTCCTTGAGGTGATTGAGGTATTTTTTAGTGCCAACCTTGCTGTCTACAATACTACAGACACAATAGTCCAACGGATTGGTATCCGGAGATTTTGGTGGCCATTGTGCGCTGGAAATGAAGCGAAGAACCTTATGTTGTAACCACTCTTGGGTGGCGCGTGCTGAGTGCGATGATACTGGGTCCTGTTGGAATGTCCTAGGTCTGCGGCCAAAATGTTTGCGTGCCCAAGGCTTTAATACACCCTCCAGAATATTTTCGCTATAATATTGGGCATTTATTCTGAAGCCATGGTCGATTAATACCAGCGGAGAGCTACCATCGGCTGTTATGGCTGCCCACACCATCACCATTGCCGGCGCTTGAGTTCTGGTGGCCAACCGAAGGTGCACATTTTCAGCTGACCTCTTTGGCAAGTAAACACGATCATTTTGTTTGTTTACAAACTGCTGGACAACGGATGTGTTCTCATCGGAGAAAACCAAATTTGTCAGTTCACCACTTTCGGCCAAGCGAAGCAACTCTTTGGCTCTTTTGAGTCAATTTTTTCTCTGTTGCGGTGTAAGTTCGTGCACTTTTAGGAACTTCAATGGCTTTACCCCGAGCTCATTTTTCAATATTTGCCGAATGGAATGTTGCGATATGCTCAGCTCACGAGCCATTTTTCGGCCACTGCAACGCGGTTTTCGTTCAAGTCGCTTCTTTACTTTTCGAACCATTTCTGCTGATGTTGCTGTTTCCTTCCGTCCACTTCCTTGACGTCGGGCTACCAGTGTCAAGGTAACGAGAATACTTATTGTAAGTCTTCTCTAAGTCTTCTGTTGCTTCAGGTTTTTTTTTTGTGTAGATAGACATTTCCTAGATGGAAAACATTCTTGAGGCCTTTTATAGCTAGAACATATGTTTAAGGTCATCTGTAGATGAATGTATTTTAACAGGTCTTCTTAGAGGGCATAAAGGCCTGAGAATACTATTCTTTCCTTCTTAAGGTCTTTTGTACGTAGTGGACATTTTGAAGTTATTTTATTATTAGAGGTCCTAAAGATGGCGTATTTTATATATTGAGGACCTCCTTTTACTCTTCAATGAGTAGGGTATTCTGCACAGATCTTCCGCGAAAAGTTTCTGAAACTTTTCTACGTCATCTGTAAATTTAAACATCCTCTGCCAAATTTCCTTAAGTTTCCTTTAGTAGATGACATATTTGAAGTATTTTTTTTTTTTTTTTTTTGTGATCTACAGAAGTTCGTATAGGACCTCAAAAGATTCACAAAGACCCAAAGAACAACTTATATTCATAAAAGACCTTTAAAAGGTTACCGTACACCAGTCGCTAAGAGTATGAGTGATTTTAAATATTTTTCATATCACTCATACGGCAGGGTATTCATAAAAACGACCTGAAGTCCACGGAACTAGATTAGGAACTAGTGCATTCGATTGAACTAAATTGGTACAACTATAACAGATGATTCCTGAGAATTCTGACCCTTAAAAGTCTTCCTTGGATATAGGGTCTTCTATTTCACGTATAAGGACAAAGGTCCCTCTTTCATTACATGTCCTGATGTAATGTACCATATTTTTCTTTCCTTTAAAATTACATCACCGGACATTTAGCAGATCATTGCGAAAATGTGTAAAAAAAGTACCACACGAACATACGCCCACACAGCAGCGGAAGTACCACAAAAAACTAAATGAGTTTAAATACAAAACAAACGTTGAATGTTTTTATTTGTTTTGTGCAATTGTTTCTATTGAGCTCTCCCCTCGCTCCTCCTCCCCTCTCCTCGCCCCCACACAGACACGATTCTTTGGAACCGTAATATCTTTGTGTTGTTATTTCGATGGAGTTTTCATTATCATCGTTTGTACCTTTATTGACAATTACATACTTATCGGATTAACACAAACACATGGCGGACACACACACACTACTACATCAGTACACATTCAATGGCCATAGAGATGTGTGTGTCGTTCTGTAACACTTGAAAATAGAAAAACGACGGTTGGGTTCGTTTAGCTGTTCAGAGGAATGTCCCTCCAAATATTTTATGAAAACCAACCAACCAACACACACACAGACACATACACCAAATTCACACACATTGACATTGAATTGTATCCCTTTTTTCGCCATTTCTCTCCCGCAATCCTCTTCTCTCTTTCTCTCTATTTTTTTGTTTGTGTCCTGCTGCTAACAAAGACATTTGCACGTTCTAACATTTCAAATGTAGGTTGTGGTAACCGTTTTTGTGGTGGCGTCGTTGCTGGTAATAAATGTTTCTGGGGGAAAATAGAATTGTTTGTCGTCATGTTAGTCCTTTTTAAAGGATCACATACACATTGCACACTCACAATGGAATATGTATGTCAATGGCAGGGTCAATTGTTTATTGGTATCTCTTTAGTTTTTTTTTTTTTTTTTTTTGTTTCTTTGCTGGTTTGCCATCTAAAACCCCCCGAGTTTCAATTTACTTCCAGGTTATGAAACAGAATTATTTACTATAGAAATTTTATAGACTTGTCATTTTCTCAAAGTCCTTTTTTGTGGGAAATAATGTGAGAATTGATTATCAAGGAAGAAACAACGAGACAATATCCAGTTGTTGAAAATATAAATGGGCAATGTTGTCATTTTGAACTGGAAAATTACGTGGGGTTATTCAATGGTTATTGAGAGGAGATTTTTATATGGCACTAAAAGGAAAAAAGCTTAAGGCGTGTTAAAGGGCATAATGAACGACCTAACAAGTTAAAAAGTATAAATAGGTTTGCCGACTATATTTATGCCCTCAGCTTATGACAATTGCCAAAAAATGCATTATTTTTAAAAACACGACTTAATTCTCTCAGGATACCAAAATTTTGGTCCAGGGAGTCCTCAAAAAATATTTTATTTAAATTTCGATT